GTGAATCTTTCTAAATGTAGAATATAAATGTCTTAACACAATAACTAAGAAAATGACATGAAGGCTATGTTAACCAGATGGATGAAAGTATTTCAAATTGTATATAGAAACAACATACTGTACCCCATGATAATATTAATGTACATAGCTATGATTTAATTAAAAAATGTTAAAAAAAAAATAAATGCCCTCTTCACTGTGTGGGCTGGAAGTATTCTGGGTTCTACTGTTCACACCACTGCTTGGGCTGGGTCCTCCCTGAGGGGCAGGGCTGAGGCTGGGTAGGTGTCCCCTCCCTTCCCCCTCTTCCCACACTCACGTGGAATTCGTAGATCTCCGTGAAGCGCCGGTAGACCACCTTCTCTGACAGGTCCTGCCACTTCACCAGGAACATGTACACCTGAAGCGGGGTGGGGGTGGGGGGTTCACTCAGCTTTCAAGGAGGGCTCATTGTGCACCTGGGCGGTTCTCTACCCCTGAGAAGCTGGGAGGATTTGGGTGAGGGAGATTTTTAGGATTGCCTGGGCCAGACTTCATGAACCCCAAACTTGCCACTGCCTGCTCTGAGACCCCAGGCGAGGTGGTCAGTTTCTCTTAGATTGAGTCATCTGTAAATTGGAGATAAAAGTAGGACTTCACTTCTAGGGCTGCCCTGAGCAAGAGCGAGACTCCCATCTCTACTAAAAATAGAAAAACTAGCTGAGTGTCCTGATAGGCACCTGTCGTCCCAGCTACTCGGGAGCCTGAGCAAGAGGATCCCTTGAGCACCCTAGCCAGGACAACAGAGAGAGATGGAAGGAAGGAAGGAAGGAAGGAAGGAAGGAAGGAAGGAAGGGCGGGCAGGCTCAGACAATTCAGAACTCAGCACTCAGCAAGATAATGCATTATTTTGGTTCTATGAAATGTCCAGAATAGACACATCTATAGAGACAGGAAATAGATCATTGGTTGCCAGGGGCCAGGGTGTTGTGAGGTGACTGCTAATGGGTATAAGATTTCTTTTGGGGGCAGGTGTGATGGAAATGTTCTAAAATTGATGTAACCACAGTTACATGACTCTGTTAGCATATAAAAACTGTTGCGTCGCACACTTTACATAAGAAATTGTACCATGGGCAGCACCTGTGGCTCAGAGGAATAGGGCGCCATTCCCATATGCCAGAGGTGGCAGGTTCAAACCCAGCCCCAGCCAAAAAAAGAAATTGTACCATGTGTGAATTACAACTCAGTGAAACCATTATTCTGTGAAAAGAGCTCAGTAAGAAGAAATAGCTAGGAAAATACTACTCAGCCACAAAAAAGAACAAGTGACTGATACACAGGTCACTAAAAATGTTTTGAGACAGATAAGTTTTATGGTCCATTATTTCAATTCCAAGAAACAAGTCAAGAGTGTCCTTTCTGGCTCAGCGCCTGTGGCTCAAGTGGCTGGGGCGCCAGTCACATACACCTAGGGTGGCGGGTTTGAATCCAGCCCGAGCCTGCCAAACAACAATGATGGCTGCAGCCAAGAAATGGCCAGGCATTGTGGCGGGCGCCTGTGGTCCCAGCTACTTGGGAG